TTACCATGGCCTACAAATTGCACCCCTAAGTGTCAGTATGAAATGCAAGGTTCCATGGGATCCAGTTCTCACCTTTCTCCCTCAATTTTACTTCCCGCTTTTAACTCATTTACTTCCCACTTTTAACCCTACTTTCTAAACCTTGCAGAATTCCTTGGATTTCCTTGAATACTCAATATTCTTTTGTCTTTGTTCACTCTGCCTCCAAGAGTCTCCTTCTCTCTTCATCCTCTGTCTCCATCAGATTAATATTGGGTAATGTTAAGGAAATGAAATCAGTACCTTAAGACAACAAAGTCACTCCCTTACTCTTCTGAGATCAACAAGTTTTATTCTTTCCTCAGAAGACCGAGGTGGAAAATATTTTAGAATTTATGAGCAACAACTTCTGTTGCATGTTCAACCTTTATAATGTTTTGAAATATTACAAAACCCATTTTCGTTCATAGCCATAAAAAATTGGCTCTGGCCACTTGCTGGCCTCTATTCTGACCATTACCAGAGACATGCAGGCAGCAAAATACTATGTATCTAGTCATTCAGAGACTGAAGTTAATGGAAGAGTTAACTCAGACACTTCTTGTTATTGTGAAGAGGTAAGGAGAAGGGAGGATCTTATGCAAGTAATTGAAATGCTCCAGTCTGGAAGAATCAGCCCATAACTTCTGATTGCAAGTAATTGAGCAAATTAGTCACTCAGCCCCATTCAACAATAAGGGAAGCAGGAATTATGATCCCACCATATATTTAGCAATAAGAAAAATTAAAATATTTGTGCTCTAACAGTCCAGACCCAGAGACACAGCAACAAGTCCCGGAAGACACCACAGTGCCAGAGATCTCTCCGGGCCAATTTCACTGGGACACCCCAGATGGAGCAGGTGCAGTCTCCCCGCCTACTCCAGATGGAATCCCAGTGACCAAGAGCTTCCACAAGTAACCCCTCCACCGCCCCCCTGTGCCGGTTCCAGGACTGAATCTCGAGGCCGCATGGTGGCAGAGGACCCAGGCTGCCCCTCCCCTAGTACCCACCCACCGAGTAGACTGGCTGCCATGCCCACAATTTGCCTCTGGGCTCCATCTTAGCACACCAACAGCCCTGGCCCAGAGACTCCCAATTGAATCCCCAATCAGATGAGCAGTGCCGTACAGAGATATCTCTGGAACCCAATCATTTACAATCTATAAATTTACATTTCCAATTGTGGCTGTGCGAGCTCTCATGATATTCAGAATGAGCACTTGATCACTTGATCACTTGACATCCCATTACTAATCGATTTGCTTGAATGGGCACCAGTAACGTCTCCATTTGTCCCTGTCGCATGCTAGTGTAGCCCAATGGTGTCTGCTCATTCTAGGAACACAAAGAGCCTCAAACCAATCATTCAGGGTCTTGACCTTTTGGTCAAGTCTGACCATCTCGTAGGTGGGCGGCCACATGATCTTTTGACGTTCCATGGAATCCAGTCAGCAACGGCTCTAGTCCAGTGGTCCTCTCCAAATCTCATTACGTGAAAAAGCCACCAAAATGAGCAATGGAAAATAAATTATCTAGTGTATACCTCCAGCAGGTAGGCTTGAATAGTGGTGGGAAATTTCGAGCAAAACATAATACACAAAATTAGAGAGAGAGCGATAGCACAGCGGTAGGGCATTTGCCTTGCACGCAGCCAACATGGTCAACCCAGGTTCGATTCCTCCGCCCCTCTGGGAGAGCCCGGCAAGCTACCAAGAGTATCTCGCCCGCACGGCAGAGCCTGGCAAGTCACCCATGATGTATTCAATATGCCAAACACAGTAACAACAAAGTCTCCAATGGAGACGTTACTGGGCCCGCTCGAGCAAATCGATGAGCAACGGGAGGGCCTTTACTTTTTACTTTAGAGAGAGAGTATTGGGGAAATTGTCTGCCATAGAGGCAGGGTGAGGACTGGGGTGTAAGTGATGGAAAAAAGTGCACTGGTGTAGGGATGGGTGTTTCATCATTGTATGGCTGAATCTCAAACATGAAAGCTTTGTAACTCTGTCTCACGGTGATACAACTAAAAAAAAAAAAAGTCATGCGGAGTTCATGCCCAATTCAATCAACTTAATCAATGGCTGAACAAATAGCACTACTCCAACATTATTTAAAAAAAGAAGAAAAATTAAAATATCTTGGTAAAAATGATAACTTTGCTCATCAGGGAGACACGATCTGCAAGCCTTTTCTGGTACCCTTGTCCCTTAGCCAAATTTAAGTACTCTTCCTCTGTAAGCTTAGAGCACCTTGTATACCCCTTGCTCTGTCCACAAGCTTCCACAATTCCATCTTCTCTGTTGCCCTAAATAAATTTTGAGTTTCCTCACAGTAACCATCTCCAATAACACAACGGCTAGTACAGTATCTATTATTAACAGATGTTCAAGGTGTGTTTCTTCAATGAATAAATAAATGTAGCAGCTTGGGGAATACATTTTTCTCTGAAAGCCTGTTAATCCATCACTGCCAACTTAACTGACCTAGTTAGCTCAACCACAAGTCTCCACTTAACATACATTTGTCTATATGGCTCTTGTGACAAACTCATCTCTCCTTATGCTTTTTTTTTTTAATTTAACCAAAACCTTAAAGAGAACTGGTCCCTAAGACTACAGGCTGCTTGAATAGTGTGTATAGATCTGTTTTGTTTTGGGGTTCCAGGTGAGAAGGCACAGGAACTTTCCCAAACTAAGGCTAATCAGAGGTAGCAACATGTTACAGATTGTTTTGAGTCAACGACAAAAGGCCTATGGGATTGAACTCGGAGAGCTGCAGCCAAATTCACCCGTTAGTGTATTTACATCACATGGAGAGACAGAAAGGCTAATACATGTTTGTCAAAGATAAGACTTACTGTGCCCTATCAGCATTTATCTTGTAGTTGTGTACATTTATCTGAACAAAACATTAAAACAAGCCACATGACTTAATAATATTTCAACCTGTCATATTGATTCCACTCACCCACTCACCCACTTTCCTCTTCTGCAGTGACACAGCTCAAGATCAGATGGTCCTTCAGAACCCCAAGAGCACGAAGGATACCACGCACCTAAGGTTTTTACCATCACACCTTAATGCCTCTAGACGTCCAATAATCTTGAAATCAGTTGCATGTGTAATGTGAGTGAGGTGCTGCCGTTGTATCCCAAAGGCTATCGACAGGGTGGGGAAAACAATTTCCAAGGCAAAAACTCCACTCATAGATGGAGTAAAACTTCATGCTTGCCAATCAGAAGCTGGAAACCTTTACAAAATACTTTACAAAACCAGGACAAGAAGAACACATATAGCCAGGCACTGCCAGGCACTTCTCAGATGACCACTGACACAGCAACCAGAGCATGGTCACGCTGCCAAGACTGAGTCCTTCAAGATAAAAACTGTGTGTGTGTGTGTGTAGATAAAGATATATAGATATATATACACCTTTTCTTTCTAAAGGTGAAATCACTCTGGTGTTCCCTCTGACTCTCATTAGATACTTAATGGCCCCAGCAGACAATGCACCTCAAGCGGCAGAAACTGAGCAAAACTGAAGTCCACAAAAGCAAATTATAGGCTCAGGTACTGCCAGAGAAACAAAAATCGGTTCTTGCTGGGAGTCTTGACTCCGCTTCCTTTTCTCTTCCTTCAGCCTTGTAATTGAACCGTCCTAAGTATACCAAGAAGAATAAACCTATGCTAACCCCCCCTCCAAACAAAGAAAGGTTAAGCTTTTAATTACAGGCCCTGGAAGTACCATTTTATGCAATTAGCAATTAACTATAATCATTGATGAGAGAATGCGGGGCTGCGCAGGCAATTTCCCACCTCCTCAACCCAGACTAGGTTATTTTAGTCCCGTTTTGTTTCCGAGGACAAGTTACAACCGCTACACACACACACACACACTCTCTCTCTCTCACTTAAAGAATTTTGTTGTTGTTGTTGTTGTTTAAAGCAAAAGAGTATCTCAACAGTGCTATTGGGACAGGCATCTCGACCCCCACACCAAAGCAGCCCCGACACTTCTGAACCACCCCCCAGGCCCTCCTTTCCATCACTTTCAGGTGGAGAGTGGGCCGGCCCAGGAAGGCGCTACCTACCCGCCTCACAGTACCAGCCTCTCTTTGGGGGTGCAGGAGAGAGGGTGGTAGAGAGATGCCCGTGGGCCCTGGAAGCTGCAGTCCCTCCCCCCCACCAGCCCGGGCTGCCAGCCCCGTTGGTGGCAACCGCAGCGATCGTTGCATCAGCGTTCGAGAGTGGCTTCTAGCTGCTGCTGCTGCTGCTGCATTTGCAGTGCCGGGAGGGCACTGTCAAGCCTGCCGGGAGCGCACAGCTGCGGCGGCAGGTTCCCGGGATCAGGAAATTGGGGCAGGCACCGGGGATTGGAGGCGCGGGCGGCGCGCGAGCCAACCAGCGGCCGCCCCGGGCCCCCGTGAGCCCCGGGCGGACGGACGCGCCGAGCAGCCGGGCCCGGGAGCGCTCCGGGTGGCAGCAGCGGCCGCGGCCACTCGCGCACGCACGCGCGCGCGCGCGCTCCCCCTCGCACACCCCCGGGCGCTGGCACCTGCCCGGCCCGAGCCGCTTCTCCTCCTCGGAGACGGGGACGGGCGGGAGGGCTCGCTGGCTGGCTGGCTGGCTGGCCCGCTCGCACCCCCGCCCCGCTGACCACTCCCCCCTCCGGCCGCCCGCTGCTCACCCCGCGCGCTCCAGCGTGGGTGCTCCGGGGCGAGGCCGGCGGCGGCGCCCCGGCTCTTGGATCTTCGCCCCTGCTCTCCCGGGCGCCCCTCCCCGGCACCCTCCCTCCTCCTCTGCAGCGCCTTGCATTATTCGCTGCCTGCAGCCCGCTGCAGCTCGGGGAGGTGGGTGGGTGGGCGGGCGGGGAGGAGGAGATTGTGCAAGTTGGAGGAGGGGAGGGGTGCCCCTCTCCGCGGCTCCCTTTCCCCCGCCGCCCCGCTCACGCCTTCCCCCTCCCCTTCCCCGCCCCCACCTCCTTCCTCCTCTGCGAGGGCTGGTAACTTGTTGTGCGGAGCGAGCGAGCGAGCGGCACCATCCAGGCGGGCACCATGGGCACGTCCGCGGCGCGCTGGGCGCTCTGGCTGCTGCTCGCGCTGTGCTGGGCGTCCGGGCGGAGCGGCGCCAACGGAGCGGGTGAGTCGGGGCGCGCCCCTGGGCGGGCTGCTCGGCCGGGACCCCTCGGGTGCCAGGGGGTGCCCCCGAGGCGTGGGGAGGGGGGCTCTCCGTTCGCCCACCCCCTTGCCGAAAGGCAGCTCGCTCCGCGCGGCTCCCGGCGCCGTCCTCCCCTCCCCACCCTGGTGGCGCCTCTGAGCTGTCAGCGCCGCGGACTGGGGGTGGGGGGACAGGGGACAGGAAAGGTTGGAAGGACCGGGCTCCTTAGACGCTTGCCTCAACTAGTCCTCATGCCCTGATCCTTCCTGCACCCACCCCCCAAAGTCAGTTTCTCCGCGTTTTCACCCCGTTTGGCACGGGGGTGGGGGGGATGTGGGCTTCTGAGCCACTGAACAATGGTTCTGTCTCCTCTGCCAGGCTGGGGGGTTAGGAAGGAGGTAGAGGGCCCGGGCCGAGGGGGTGGGGGGTGGGGGGCGCCCTCGGGGGCGTGGGCTGTGGGTCGAGAGGCCCCCCCATGCGTTCGGTTCGGTGGGCGTTTGCCAGGAAGCCCCGCGGAGCCCGCACAAGTGTGCTGCGCTCTGGCGCGCGCGCGCGCGCCCCCCGGACTGGGACCGGGACCGAGTCTCTGCCGGTTGTCTCCGGAGTGCGGGTCCGAGGATGAGTGAGGCTGGAAAGAAAGAGGACTCCCCTCCACTTGTGTCCCCCCCCCCCCCACACACACACACTCCTCACCCCCAGCTCCAGCTGCTTCTGCACGAGCCGAGTTTGTCAGCCCCCCCAGGGGTGTCCGGGATGATCACTGCACGCGGGGGAGGGGATCGGAGACTTAATCAGGTTAGTTGGCTCATCCTCCTCTCCCCCCACCCGCCGCACCGAGGTTTCCCCTGGAGGAACTGAGTCCTAGTCGGAGGACTGTGATTAGCTTTCCTTGCAAACAATAGATCAAAGGACTAGCGCCCAGACCGGTGTGCGCCCGCCCGGCTGGGGAGGGCCTGGGGACCACTGGGGACTCAGGGAACCAGCCTTGTCCTTAGCGACCCTCCCTCCCTCCCGTGCAACTTTGCAGAGCGGGCGAGAAGTCCTCCCCCAAGTCCTCCCTCGGGATCCTGGCTGGCCCCTGGAGTGATCTTGACCTGACAGCAAAGAGCTTTGCTCCCCAGCGCTCGGGAATCACGACCCAAAGCTCCCCCGAGGACAGGGCACCCGTGCCAGAGTCCCTGGCTCCTGTCGCCTTCTGGCCTGGGTAGGCCCGCCCGCCCGCCTGCAGTCACGTGTCGCCCGGAGTGCCAGCGAACTTTACAGTGTGTGGTCAAGCAGCCTCTCGGGCGATCCGTGCAGCTTTTCAGGCTCCGAATGTCCTCTGCCCTTTGGTTCCCACTGTCCCGGGCGAGCGTGTGAACCGGGGAACGGGCGCTTCTGCCCGATGCGATTGGCTGTCCGCCCCTGGTCACGTTCGTGCGGGTCACGTGGACTCGGAATTTAGCAACCCGAGCAGGAGGATCCTCAGGGAAACACGTAAGAAACCAGAAAGGCTCCAGTGAACTCTCTGCTCAAATGCTGTCCCCTGCCCTGCAGAAAGCATTTTTTCTTTTAAAAAATAAAAAAGGCCAGTGAGTGGTGAAGATGACTTCTGGTGCCTGGCACACTTCAGAACCTGGGAAATCTGTGCTTACCCCGGTTTTCAAATTAACCATTAATGGATGAGCAATGCTAACTTATTAAAAGCTTTCTCGAAATGATGATGCCTTGACTAGCATTGTACTTTTCATAGCATTTCGAAACCCGAAGAGATGCCGGAAAGTACTGAGAACTACACAGGAAGGTGGGAGAAAAGGTTGTAGCTCACTCTGTTTCTCCCTCGTTTTGGATTTAAGATGTAGTAACTTCCAGTTGGCTGTTAACTTTACCCTAGGATATGTTTGAAGTGCACCTCCGTGGTGGGAAAGAGTCAGATCCTAGTGTTCACCTTGGGGTAGGTGCATATAGAGAAGGGTCCCTGTAGCTCTCTTGGTCACATCTGCTACTCGTGATAAGCCATGACCAGTGGAAAATAGAACATGCAAGATTTAAAATTTTTCAAAGGAAAGGTGGCACACTCTTGCTGAAATGGAGTAATTGAGGCTTGGCTGAAGTAAGTATTCAACCCAAGCAAATGCTGACTGGTTCCTGCCTGAACTTCAGAGCTCCAGGGCACGTGTGCTGACTTCTTTGGACCTTGGTTTGCCAAGATTTCCTATCCCCTACCCCATTATGGTGATACTCTAGAGCAGGCCAGGCTTGCTCACACCCTGTCAACCAACTTAAGGGAGGCTCATGTGATAAAGTCAAAATTCTGTGTTTCGGTATGCCTGATTGTGACCGTGCATAGTTGTTCTGGGACATTTTCCTTCCTCCAAGGGAGTCAGGATTAATGTCTCTTTATTAAGGTCAGAAGCTGGAAGTCCTGGAGTTTCATGAGTTTTCGATATGGTTTGCAACTAGCAACAGAGAAGAGAGAAACTTCTCTGACCATGGGGAATTAATTGCCAAATAATGCTGGCCATTGTGTTAGCACCAAGGATTGTAAGCCTCCTTCTAGGCCAAAGAATGAATAGGTGAGGAGAATTCATAATAAGGTCACCAGAGGCACCCTCAGCTCTCAATGACATTTTTTTCATAAAGTCAGGTGCAGCTCTGTTCCCTCTGGTTGCCCATCGCCCACTTCACGTGACATTTAGCTCTCGGCCTATCCTGTGTCATTTTGATGGTTTTGCTTTTATTGCTTAAGTCCCTAGATACCTAAAGCGTGTCTAAAGGCCAATTTAAGCGAAGCTGCCGACTGTTCAAAGTTAGCTGCAACAAACTGGGCATTAAACTTTTCTAGCAAAAGTAATTATGGTAGCCGCTTGCTCCGAGAAGTCTCAACTGAAGTGTTTCTGACTTTTACAAAACTGGATCATGAACTCAGTCTTACTTGAGGGGTGTGTGCGCACACGCACATGTATGTTGCCGTTCAAAAGTCTAGGAGAGGTTACGGTATTGACAAGTCTTCTCTGCTCTAGGAGTATCAAACTTATTAGACATTATAAGAACTGGACTTGAAATGGCCCAAAGAACAGAGAGATGGGCAGTTTTCATCCGTATTGCTCTGAGCTTGGATTAAAAAATCAGAAGACTTGAAGTACAGCATAGAAACAGAGATAATTAAGGAGATCTAGGTCAATTTTTTATTTCTCACATAATCTGAACAGGTTATTCTTTGAAGTAGTGTGGTTGATGAGCAATTGTAGACAGTCACTTATTTGGTTGCAATAAAAATTAAAATTACTTCAGATATTGGCCTTTTGAAACTTTTATTGTTTAACTGAATCACAGTGAGATATAGTTACAACATCACGATTACGATCATCCTGTTGTTTGCTGATTGCCTCGAGCAGGCCCCAGTAACGTCTCCTTCATCCTAGCCCTGATTTTTTTTTTTTAAAGTGCCATGTTCAAGGCTCTTTCAGGGTTAGGAGAATGAAACCCATCATTGTTACTGGTATATGGCATATTGGGTACACCACGGGGAGTTTGCCAGACTCTGCCAAGTGGGCAGGTTATATTCGATAGCCTGCCAGTTTCTCCAAAGTTACAACATTGTTCATGTTATTTTTTAAAGGTAACTTTACATACTAGCCAGTAAAAAAATCAAATCTTTGGCTGAACCTGATTTAATCCCCAGCACTCTAGATGGCCCGCAGTACTGTCAAGAGTAACCCCTAATGGAGCCAGAGAGATAGTGGGTAGGATGCTTGCCTTGTATGCGGCCAACGCAGATTCTATCTTTGGCATCCCGTATGTGTCCCTGAGCCCATCAAAAGTGATTCCTGAGTGCAGAGTCAGGAGTAAGCCATGAACCCCGGTGGGTGTGACCCCCCAACAACACAGAACAAAGAAGAGTGATCCCTAAGGCAGTAGAAATGAAGAACATGAGAACTGGTCTTCAGTCGAAGCATGCCACTGGACAATGGGAGCCAAGGAGAGGAATAGAAAACTAACAGCGGCGGGAAATGTCTACTCTGGAGGAGGAGGGGTAGTCAGCAGTGATAACGTGATTTGCACAAAACCCTGTCTGGAACCGAATTGTAAACCACAGTGCCTAAAAGAGAAAAGGGTACCTGCCTCAGAGGCACCATTGCGGTTGAGAGGGAAACTGAGGACATTGGTAGATGGGAAATAGACAATAATGGTGGGATTGAGGTTGGAAAACTGAATGCCTGAAACCCAGTATCTCTGTAAATCCCAGTTCCTCAATTAAAAATAAAAAGAGCGACCACTAAGCACAGAGCGAGGAGAGAGCATGAACACTTCTGTGTATGGACTAACCCCACTCCCCAGAATAAAAGACAGTCCTGGCACTAGGGTGATAGTTTAAAAGGCTGGAGTGTATGTGGGCCCGGTTGACCCTAGGCACTGGCTGGGTGCTGCTTTATTGTACTGGCAAGACCTTCCCCACCGCCCCCAAAGAGAGAAATGAAAAAGAAAAATTCTCTATGGCTATTATGAGGCTTCTAATGACACTAGTTAGGAATGTGTCACCTTGGGAGGAATTCTCCTGGTGGACAATTACGGTTGCTCCGCAGATGGTGAACTGGTAGCTCACAACTGTCCAAAATGCTCCTTTGCGCTCTAAGTTGATCTTTACGGAGTACTCAGACTGGAACAGAGACACTGACTTAAAGTCAGTTCACTATCACTGGAGGAATCTATTTTACTATTTTTTTTTCCTTCACCCAGTTAAACAGCTATTACTGTGATATCCAAGGATGGATAGTTTTGTCTAGGAACCACATCCAGCTGTGCTCAGGTCTTACTGCTGGCTCTGCACTAGGGTATCACTCCAGGCAGGCCTCAAGGAACCAATCTGGGTGCCAGAGATTGAACACGGGTTGGCTGCTTGCAAGGCAAGTGCCTTACCCACAGTACTCTCTCTCCAGCCCCAAGTCCTCTGAATACTTAAACACAGAATCTGACTTGGCTCCAGAAGCATCTGGCTTTGT